TATATCTTTTCTACTCTCCGTTTTTTTTGTTTACACTTCAGTGATCACGATATAATTCTCAGACCAGCCAGAAAGAGAGATCTCAGACAGCCGACACAAAAATTGTAAGCAAAACCCACTCTCAATGCCACGTTTACTCTACAATTTTTTTTAAAATGAAAAAGAATTCTAAACAAACCCTTGACTTCTGAAAGCACCCTTTCGTTCAGCAACTCAGGATCATTTGTGACACAACATGGTGGAATCAGGCTCTCGTCAATTTTGGGGTATATGGAGTTTTTGGTATGGTCTTAAAGCCTGTTTATTTGCCTTGCTTTTGATGAGAAAATACCCATCTATCTTAAACAGAAGACCAGATATTTACGACTGAAAGACATGTGGGTCACCTGGGGTCAGGGGCAATATTAGCTAAAAAAAAGCGCCGATAAAGTTAGGTGATTTCTTAAGTTGTAGTGCCCTTGAAAACTGCAATTTTTTCATATTTTGGGGGCCCTTGATCAACGTCTTTCAGTAACGTCTACTCAGAATATTATGTTTTTAAATGGACATAAAAAGTTGAACCTGAAACAAAAAATTCAATAAAATATATTCAACAGACGGTAAATGTCAGATTTTTTCGATTTCATCATTTTGACGAGCGCGTGATTTCATCATGATGCCACTTTTTTTTGTTTGTTGCGAATCCCATCTGGCTTCCCTTTACCTGTATACCCCATATCTTGTCGGGGAGTCAGTTTTGAAATAATCTAAAAAAAACATATCCGCCAGAAGGACACAAATCTCAACTTGTTCAAATAAACCTTAATCATTCGCTCTTTCAAAGGCAGAGGGTTTTGGCGCTTGCGTTAAAGAGGAAAATGGGAGTTTTATTACTTTTTATTAATTCTGTGGGTTACGCCACCTGAGAATTTTTATATATTTTCCTTTTTGTTTAGATCATTTCGCGGGTAGCCTACCTGCGAATCTTTATTATTGGAATTTTTATAATTATTTTGCCTATAATGACATTATGTGGCAAAGACCTAAAGCGAATCCTTATAAAATAGACTACCCTCATCGTTTACGTCAAGTTTAACGCTTGCAACTTTATAAATTATTCATCCCCCCCCCCCTTTCCTTTTCCCAAACCTTTTTTTAACATAACGACACAGTAACAGTGACGGCTGTCATCAAAGCTGTTACGAAAGTTAGTTGTTAACTGATTTTCCGACTTCAAAACTGCAATTTTACCCTTTGACCAGAACTAAAAGAATCAAACATAAAGGTTTTTAAAGCTGTGGAATCGTTTCAGAAAATATTAATAGTGGAGTAAAGACTAAGAAGGTACCTCTAAATGCGACGGTTTCGTTACTTTTATGATTCTGACCCTTTCTTTGGATTAGCCATATATTTTTCTTCTTTTCTCCTTCATTCCCTGCGTAACCATGTACCCATTTCCAAATGTTGATCTAAAGTTTATTTCCTAAAGACGAAACGTTGGGTCCGGATCGAGATTCGAACCTTGTTCCTGACAGTAAGGATCGAGACCGGCAGCACAATCAGCACAATCATTAAGACCATAGACGCCAATAGATCTTTTTCTAGAAACCTGCGGTCACAAACTGCCCCACTCCCGTTCCCCT